TAGTTAGACGGTTTTATGCACAAAAAAAAAAAAAAGCAATCGTGGCAATGCAGATTTATTTTATCCGGTATATATATTAAAGACCTTCACAAAAGTTTAATTTATTGTACGAAGTTATCAAAAATAATTTTATATCTCAAAACTCACAACACTCAAACTTTGTAACCGTCATTTGCTGAGGGAATTTTTTTAGTTTAAAATAGAATGAAAACAAAAGCAGCCCGAGGGACTAAAATTAATTAAATCAAATCTTTATTATATTAATTATGTTAGTAGGTTTTCTTTTCTTTTATTTTTTTTCTTATAAAAGCTTGGGAAGAGGAAATTTTTTATCTATTCCAAAGCTGGGACAAACTACCAATTTTAATTAAAATCTGAGACTATATATTTTTATTTTATAGATTCCTGAAAAACAAAAACAAAAATATAAACATTCAAACTAAGAACGTAACTTACATGACAACATCATATTATTAGAGAAAAAATAAAAAATAATTATAGTATGATTCATTATTATTTCTAGAGTTTATTAATTACTTTATTTCTTTTTCTTTCTAACATAACATTGTAATATTACATGAACTGGATGAAAAAATAATATAAGATAAAGCAATATTGTAGTAGATGTAAAAGGGAAGCCTCTCATCCTAGCTCATAATGCACTAAATTTAACTTATATAACAAGTTTTCTTCCACTAATTCTTTGACAAACACAAGTCTAATTAGTGTTGCCTTGTCTTGCAGCATAAGTTTAACGTGAGCAAGCAAATCAATCTACATCACTAAACACTTTTCGGCCTTGAACTCAATTTATATTTCCTTAATGAATTATTTATTTCTATTGACTTGAAAGCATAAGTCAGCATTTCACCAATCATACTCACCATTCTCGCCACATGGAATGTTCCAACTTGCTCTAATTTTCCAATATCTTTTTTTTTAATCTAATCGCATGTCATACCACAATGCATAATTTTTAATTAAAGTTGTAATATTAATATATGGCAGCACGACTTCCCAAAGCTGTGTCTCCACACCATAGTCGAGTTTTGAAGGTAATTAGTTGATCCCTTTAATGTGAAAGGTTCCCCTCTTTTATTTGATTCTTGCAGAATTCAAGGATTAATTTGACTGTTCTAACTACTAACACTTTCCTCCTTTTTCTACTTTAGATTAATAATTTAAAATGTGAATTGATGCTACCGCGACCCACCAACTTGCTTACTAGTAAACACAAAGGTACGGAAATAGCCCTTTTCACTAAATTAATACTTCTCTCGTTGATTGTCAAAATTACAATAATTAAAGGTAATTTGACATGGTCCTGGCCTTTTGTATATGTTTCTGCCTCAAATTTTTACCTTATCTTCTCCCTTCTCTTGGAAATAATTGTTAACTTTTGTTTTGTTTTCTGTGAGATGAGTAAATGTTATACGTAGACTCACTTTGACAGATTCTTTCATTCACCTGAACATGTACAGTAGAGTCTGCTTCAGTAGATTATGGAAGCCTTAAATCAATCCATTGAAGAGATCATAAGAAATTACCCCCAATATTTTAGCTGTTCTCTCCGGTGCGATTCTGCTCTAGTTGTATAAAATTATTATGAATAACACAGTTCTCCTAAAATATTTAAAATAATTGTATATTTAATATTTGAACACGAAATCATTCATTAAACTGAAATAATTTTATATTACTTACTTAAATATATGTAAAAATTAAATTTACATTATTCTTAGTATCAATTGTTCTTATTTGTCATTAATGATAGTTAAAAAAGGCTTTGGATTCTATACTTGTCATAAATATTAAGTATGAGTACCAATTATAAATTTTAGTATCTCGTCTTGAATGTTGTACTTGTCGAAAAATATCTGTTTAAAGTTTTCAATTCAAAGTATTGGTTCGATCTTCAACATTGTAAATAGTGGTTGTATTTATAAAAGGAACTCTAATGTCTAAGTTAACAAATATTTAAAATGTTTAGATCTATTTTTTAAGAGTAAAATTTTTCATTCTTGAAGTTGAAATGTAAGTATATAAATGAAAAAATATTATTATTTAAATTTAATTATTAATTTAAGTATATTCAAGACTTTTTATTATCATATAATGGTTGAATATTACTTTTTACAAGATTTGATCGTAAGAGAATATGTTCGACAAATCGAGTATTCTTTGACCTATGAGAATACTCTGTTTGTTCTAGATGAGTGTTATCTGAATCTTTATGATATAGTTATCTTTCGACATGAGAATTTGAGGCCTATTCCGTATGTAATTTTCTTTTTTCCACCAAAAGAACTGATTGGCTCGAGTAGCAAACTTTGAGTGCACAGTGTCAATGCAAGATTGTGGCAAATTGAGATTAGTTTGATTCTTCCAAAACCCAAAAGAAGACTTGGAATTTGCAATCTTTTACCAAGTCAGAGAGATATCTAACATAATTATAAAAACTTTACATTCAACAATGCAAATTGATGAAGTCCTCCTTCAGACCACAAAAAGGTTGCCTCATATATGATTAACATAAAGAAAGCATATACTATCGAGACCGGACTCTCGACTAGACTACTTCTAGAAAATGTGTTTGACTGCTTCTCACTCCATCACACGCTATCATTAGTGTCTTGTTTGATATTCCAAGATAAAGACAAACAATAATTATGCCTTGTAGCAGTAAAATGAGATAAACAAAGAAACACAAAAGGGTAAAAGAAAACATAATGGAAGCAGCCTTTTAGGAACAAAATCAATCCCCACCACATACCTAATTCTTTCTTTTTATCAGTTATATTGTACTGAATGAATCCCTTTTCATATTATGAAAACCCAAAAGGCATGGTCTATCTATCACCTACATGATATTCCAAAGTCCAAATGATTCATGACTATGCTACCTAATTCCAAAGCTTTTATGCAAACAAACAGTTGCATTCACATCAGATGCAGTTTACATATATCGAGTTGAGAATAATATATAATCTCTGACCTCTCTACTTAACCTCACAAGTCACAACCTCTCCCAATTGCCAAAGAGAACTTTAATTTGTCAAACAATTTACATAGGGTTCAATTATCAAGAAAGCTACAAGGGAGAGTTTACCTTGTGTAAAATGTAAACGCTTTTAATTTTTGTGCGTGGTCAAAGGACTGCATGCACAAGCCTCAAATAATGGGTATCTTTGATTGACACTATTAGTTGTTGTCGTTTTCTTTTTGTTTGGTGGCTTACTTCTTCCATCAAACACACCACAAATGCATTGAGAACTCAATAGGTTATAACCACTTGTTGAAGGACATCAAAAGAGAAGGGTTGGACAAAGTCAAAAGTTTGAAATTAATTAGGAAACTACAAAAATTTGTCAAAGATGTCAGGCTTTTCAGCAAACTCTTGTAGCTCACCACTCAAATATCGCAGAAGTCTTGGTGCCTCGCCACAAATGAATATTATTAGAGAAGCACCTAATTTCCATAGAGGAAAGTAGTCAGTGTGGCTAGCAATAATCATAAAGTTACTTGTTATTATGTCTACCAAGAAGCAAATTAGGTTGTAGATATTCCTGTTAAAAGGGGTTATTATTTATCCATTGGTGTGCATGTGTTTCAGGATTCGCTTTTATAGATTAGACTCCTTTTTTTTTTTTTTTTTTTTTTATAAGTATACCTCCTTTTTTAAAAAAAAAAATTATAAAATATCGTAATTTAAATTATTTTATAAATTTAGTTATTTTTTTAAAAAAAGAGATGTACTTATAGACAAAAGGAGGTGTATATATGAAGAACCTAAAATATACCTTTCCTTGTCAGCCCAATATACCTTTCCTTGTCAGCCCAATAATGCATGTTGCGGCGTGCAGCACATAGGTCAATGAGGACATCAGATTATAAGAAAATTGATTAGTTCATGAATGTTTTAACAGTTTTAGACAAATGATAACTTCCCTAAGGAGATTTCAAGACCAATTTTCTCTAGGACAAGGTAAAATCTTGGGACAATTTTGCGTACATTGTTTTACACTTTGCGTCGCGGTTTGTGTCTTTTACATCAACCTCATGCCAAATTGCAATACCGATGGGTGTAATTTTGTAAGCATTGTGTAATTGAGTTACATCACCAGGGATACCCTTTCAAGAGATTGTAGAATTTTCCATTTTTGGAGATCTTGATTTTTGACATCCTACAGTGCAACGTCAGGGTTGTTTCTTAGAAAGTTATTGAATCAACGGAGTGTTAATTAGCAACATAGGTTTTAATAAAATCACAAAATTGTTAATAAAACTCAATAAATATATAAAAAAAATATTCACATTATTTTATGATTTTTAATAAATTTCAATTGATACTAATATTTAATTTTTGTAAAAAAAAATGTTAAAAAGTATGTTGCTCACATTTCTATAATTCATTTTTGAAGTTACAGAATTTTTAATATTATTACTTATAATAAACATTTAATAAACTTCACATATCACACCAAGCTGTTATTATTTTTATTTCCCATCGATCTACTGCCACTATTTCCCAACCACGAGGATAAACTAAAAGAGAAATGAATAGGAACAACTTTCAGTTTGTAGTGAACCTAAAGCCAATATATAAGGAACAGTTCGACAGTGTAGAAAAAAATGCAAATAATAAAGAATAACCGAAAACTGTTAAACTTGTGAAAAAGGGAAAAACAGGCCATACATCAATGTTACACGTACTATGTTAAGCATGTGCAATGCACAATCTTGAGTATGTCTAATCATCCAAAGACAACAACTGGAGAGGTATCATCCAATTACTTACTTAAACGTGAATATTAAGTATGTCTAATATCTTTTCTCAGCTAAGAATTGAATTATGCAAGAACTTAAATAAGAAACGTTTTATTACACCTTACAACCAATAGAATCATCTTGGCAAACACAATACACGAAAGTCACCAAGATGTTCTACTATGATTGTGCAATTAACCAAAGAGACGGCGAACCCAGAAGCTTACCAGAAATAAGATGCTAAAGAATCAATGAAATTCATTTCAAGAAAGAATATGTACAAATTTATTATTTAACCAATCAAAATTGTCCCCTCCATTATCACAATCCATCTCGTCAATCTGACAATTTGTGATTGGATATACCCGAATTTCGGAAAGGTTAGTACCTTACCATCCTCTAAATAATTTGTGAAATTCAGGCAAAAGAACTCAGAAATTCACCAGTATACAGGTTATGCCGTGATTAGTTAATGAACATGACATAAGGGTAGTGGGGAATCACCAGCTTGCATCTTGAGAATCTGATATCCCTCCAATCCCCAAATGAGAAAGTTGCCATCAACTGTGATCCACCACTACCCAGCATACGACTTTAGAATCTTGTACTCCCTTCTCTAAGGGACAACAGTGTAGAAATAGAATTCCCTTGCCTCTTGAATAGCCACAGAGAGCTCATCAATTATGATTCTCCATAAGATCAGCTAGTGTTATTTTTCCACAGTTGCCAGCATCTAGTCTATCAAACTTCTCACTAACCTGCATGATGTCCTTCTCAGATACTTTTCCCATCTCCTTAAGCTTGTATATAACGTATTCTGATTTACTGCATGTCCAAAACTCAGTATATTCAGCTAAAGCACATAATGTAATGATTTAACCAAATTTTATCAAAATAAATTAACAGTCTTCTTGGATAAAAAAAAAAAAAAACATAATTTAAGCCACTAAAGAGAAAAAAATGATGAGCCCTGAAGAAAAGTAAAAAAGCAAACATGAATTTAAAATTTGGATATTGAAAACAAATAAGACCTAACTATCAGGACATTACAGCAAGTATATGTTTGTCAACAATCCAACAATAACAAAGAATGTTATGGCCATAACTACCAGAAACAATGGAAAGAATCTGCATGCAGACAATAATTTCAAAATTATATGTTTATCTCAACCATTATGGGAAACAAAAAAATTCAGAAGAAAATCCGTAGATGGTGAGCAGCCAAGAAAGAAAAGCACAATATCAGATTTTCCATTATAAAAAGAAGTTAGTTAATAAAATAATATATGATTTTAAAGCCTAAATAGAAGGTCTAGGAGACAAGTATTAGTGAGCTCACAAAAGCTTTTTTAATAATATACTATGACATTTTAAGAAAATGCTGGATTAGTTAAAAAAAACTCTTTAATCCCTATATAAGAACAAAGGAGATATACAAAATTGTGTGAATTAATGGGGAGTTAAAACCATGAACATAATATGAAGCTATGGGAGAGAGTAATTGTGCAAAGATTGATTAATACAAAAGACTCATGCTATTGAAAATCTCAAGGTTAACCATGTAAGCAATATACTTGGTATGACAATTAATGAAGTGGTGTCAGAGGAATCAAAGACTTACATATGTTTTGATTGATTTGGAAAAAAGGCATACATAGGGTTCCAAGAGAGGTTATGTGGAAGACCCTAAAGAAAAAAGGAGAGCCTAATGCCTATCATGACAAGTGTGAGAATACAAGGTAAGTTCGCATTTCGCAACAAATTTTCCCATATCTCTTAGAAATTGGGCTTAAAACCTTACTTGTCCTCATAAAATTGGCTTGCAAGGTAAAAAGTAAGAACTACCTAAACTTTATAAGCTTTGCTTAAGTCATATCTCCAATTGATGTGAGACTACACTGCCTAAGAGTCACATCCCAGTGGCTACAGTAAACAATGCTTAACTCAACCTTTATGGTCAGCCCACGCCCAGGACTATAGGCCTGGAGCATGACAAACTGGCAATGCAAGTGGCCTAACAATGGATTTAGAATTGACCTGGGAATTGGAACCACAACTTCTCCATCGGTTATGCAATTAGCCCAGAATGACGTCATCAACCTGGTCCTAAAACCGAGGTTGAACCATGACTCGACTCAACCAATTGAACACACATCTCGCGACATGCTTTAATTAGACTATGTTCCACGCCTTCCACCACCACTTTTCCATGTTTGCATTTTGTCCAGTGTGTCCCTGTTGCAAGCTAAGAAATTCAGAAAATCACACTCCAACGTGTCCCGTTGCTGCATACTATTGACCATAAGAAATTCAGGAAAAAAAAAAGGTGGGGAGTTTTGTACTTGGTAAGAATATAACCCAAGTCTTTTGGTTTTCTTAAAAGAATACAAACAACTACATCAGCAAATTTCTGATTATATAAATGGCAAAATTATTTTTTATACTACATATTTAATATAAAATTATATATTTAACAATATACCGGTTCAAACGGATCAACTAATGACCCACTCGTTCAACTAATGACCCATTGATCCGATATCTTGACCATCGATCACCATTCTAGTTCTGATAACACTAACCATAACAATTGGATTTCTCTGAGTTCCAATCTCTATCTCTGGCCACCATTGCCAAACTCTCACTATCATGTCATCATTCCAGTAGGTTCATAACCCCATTTTGCCATTAGTGACTTTCCCAACATTTTTTTGTCATTGTTCCATTTCTCTCTACTGTTGACCCACAAACTCCTCTACTCAAATCTTCTCTGATTCAAATTGTGCACTAAGATTAAAGACATCATAGCCCCATGGCTTTCCCAAAAATACAAGCCTGACTTTGGGGCTTTACCAAAAAGTATCAGTTGACCCTTTGGCTTTACCAAATACATCAACCTGCTCTTGCAAAGTTCATAGAGATAGGGAATGCCTTTACGGACCATTTCAAACAAAATGATCTTTAGCAATAACAAACAACAACAACCCAATAGAATACTGATAAGGGTCAGTAACGTATGAAGTTGATTCATTATTTGTGTTAGTTTGTTGTGTTCCATTTCATTCCATTTTCTCATTTTTACCTCAAGGTAAGGGGGAAGGAATGCCGCTAACAGCAAAGGGTGTGTTTGGGAACTAGTTGAATTTAACTCAAATGAGTTTGAGAAAAAAGTTACACTCACAAGCTTTTGATTATTTTGCATTGGAACATGTGTTTTTCTGTTGAAGATGATTTTAAACTAGTATCCAAACATACACTGAAAGGCCTAAGGGATGTTAGGAGACAGGTGGCTGTACCAACTGGAAAAAAAGTCCCAAGGGAACCAACTAAACTCGGACTTACCCGGAAACCAGAAAAACAAGTCAGAAAAAGAAATTAATTCCCAGCTTTTCTCGTATAAAAGCTGTAAAAATAAAAGCCTTCGTTTTCTGTTTAATGCAGTCAGGGTTTAGGGTCTAGAGCCTTGAACTTGAACTACCCAAAGAAACTAGCCTAGACCTAGACACACGACTTTACTAGAAGTATCAGCTGGCCACAGAAAAGAATTGCCCTAGTTTCACCATTCCATGATCTCAAATTATATTGGTTGATTTATTTTATTTAAAGGGAGAGAGAGAAAGTATAAGCATAAAGAACTAATACCAGATAGTATGTAGTCACACACTTCCACAGATAATGCAAGCTGAAATTTAAAGATGTCTAGAATTTTAAGTTTAATATATGGGTGGTTCAAAAGGAAATATGAACAGGTTTGGGGACAAAATATAACATTACAGTGACAAATAGGAAACAACTGCCAAGGGTGGCATAGATGATAAACAAATGGAAAACAAAGATGACTAGCATCTTCAACTTTGCAAAACTCACAAACTATTGCAGCAAAGAAAGGAAAATAGCAATCCAATTAAAGAAATTCTGCTGCACATTTGTTTCTAAACCACCAGAAATATTTCTCCAAGTTCATTTCCAGAGCACTCTTATGAAGATATAGCCATGCACCAAAAATAATGAGCCACTCCATAATGCAAAAGCAAGTCATGTATCATTTGTGTACTTCTCACACAACACAAACAACGTCAAGCTAGTCGCAACAATAGAAGTCTTCCCTGTGTCAGTGTATACATAACTCGAGTAACCCATAACTGAGTTACCTAGTTGGTATCAGGCTACCAGCTGTTTAACTATCTATCAACTAGCACTAACAGCTGGTACCAACAATAACATAAGTACTAACTTGGATAACTTAATTATGAGTTACTCAATATATACAGTGACATTCCAAAAGAATCTTGTTAGAAAATATTACCAAATGAGGATGCCAATATAGGGTCTTTAATTCTTTATACTCCAAAAACCACAGCCCCACTCAAAATCTCTTGAGGATCCAATTTCTCATATTGTTCCTTTTTGATTTTATTTTTGTTATTGTCTTAAGTCATTCCTCCCAAACAGTGAACAACTATTATACAAAAAGAAAACATTCTTGCGTATTTTCATAATCTACATTACTGCAGTTGAATTGACAGGTTTAGTTCAAGATAAACCTTCTTAGCCCATGATTTTTATAACAATGAATTATTTACATATCTGATACCTAAATCCCTAAGTTTTAGAGAATGAAATACATCCTAATTGTAACTGGATTCTATTCCTATTTACATGGTATATCAGTATCAACCATATGAAGTACTCCCTCAAGTCTTGAATATAAGAAAAAAATTCATGTATTTTGTTCAAAAATATAAGCAAATCTCAACTAATTTCACCTAATTTAACAATATCATCTTCAAAACATCTTTGATTTAATTAATGTTTCATTTTCAATAACTCTTTTTTATTCTTGATATCAAGTTACAATAAGGGTAGTTTAGGAAAAAAATATTTTTAATGAAATTAACATAATCAAACGATGCTAACTAACTTTCTTAATTAGCATGAATTAGTTTTTCTTTTTCTTATATTCAAAGCTTGAGGGAGTAACATCAAATTACCCATTATCATTAGTTTAATCTATCATTTACCTTTTCAAGTTGCACTTTTTCAAACAAAGTTTCTGATGGCATGCAAGTTGTCCACTTCACCAAAGACACCATATACAGCTTTAGGCCAATTAATGGGTTTTGGATACACATTTATATGATATCAATAAAAGGAAACCACAAAGAACCAATTAATCATTAGATTGTTGAGGCTCAATTCTGCTACAACCACTGTAGCAACACAGTGAGAAAAAGAGAAACAAAGTCCTCAGAATGTCCACCTTTTGGACAAAAGTATTTCCCAAAACGATGAACCAAGATCTCAAGGAAAAACCACTTAGAAAAAGGGTAACTCAGCCATTTGAATTTTGATCCTTCTGGGGTTAGGGTTTCTAAAACTTGAAGAATCTGGTGATGGTGAGGAGACCATGACGTTGGGTGCAAGAGTGAAAGTATTGGAATAGTTTTCAATAGGGATTCATTATTTTATTAACTTTATATTTATTAATCATCGATATTATATTATTTATTTATTTCATTAATGACATAGCACTTGATTGAACATTGTTGATCTATTTTAAAATAGGTTGACATTCCATTGTATTTAAACTCAAGAAAAGCAAATAAACACAAATATTGGAAAAAATCCAACTCCCATGGGCCTATCTAAATCTATTAAAAAGGTCATTCATCATTTCTTCACACACCAAGACCGATTATGCTTGGCGTGAGGAAATGTATTGAAAAAAATACCAATTCTCACATGGACTAAAAATAAGGTAAAAACAAAGTATATAAATGAGAACAATCTCCACCTTACAAGCTGGTTTTGAAAGAGCGAGTTATGCTTATACCCATTTTCTAAGATGGCATCAAAGTCGGTCTACATCTATCAAAAAGTGTTACTCACCATTTATATACACATCAAGCTCAATAGTATTGGATATAATGGGATGTATTAGTAATAATCTAAGTCCCATAAGCCTAAACTAGATCCATTAAAAGGGTCATTTACCATTTACCCACACACCAAACCCAATGATCATTAAAGTGAGTTTTCATTAAGCATTGATATTACAATATTTGCAATAGGCTATGCCTAACTGCAGATACTTTGTTTAAAAAGTCCTGAATTCTATTAGAACTACGAAGCATGTGAATTACAAGAGTGCTATATATGAAGTTTATCTAAATGGCAATCTATTTCCAAGGGATGAGTAGGAGACATGCACACCTGAGGAAAATTGCTTCCTGGTGTTCCCATTGTCTTCTACAACTAGTCAACTAAGATATCAGTTTTGTTTGGATTAGTTTGATCAACATACAAATGGAGTCAGAATGACGTAGTAACAGTATTATGAGTCATAATAATGCTCTACTTCCTTTTCAATGAAATACAGGAACCTGCAGTGTATACTGTATTGCACTCTGGCTCTAGGCCTAAACTCAAGACTCCAGCATAATGAGGAAAACCTAATAGAAAAAAATGGCAACACTAACGTAGATCACCATGTTAAGAAAGTAAAACATGTAAACCATTGTAATATCCCAGTCAAAATAAACTCTTTGCTTAACAATTTTATCGTCTAGTTTTCAGATCTGGTATTTAAATCAGGAAGAGGCCTAAGACAGAACTGTATAGTGAGTAATTAATAATTATAAAACTAAAAAGGTCCTCATAGAATCATAGCACTAAATAATATAAAAGAATTAAAATGCATACTCTACACATTTGATAATGACTGACTATAACATGGAGAATAAAATGGTGAAAGGTAAAAACTACTCCAGATAACTAGGCAATTGCCTCCATAAATGGATGCCTCAAAGGATAAGATCGGACAGGTAAGCATGATCAACATCCATACAATGTCTATTGCTGGTAAATAAAGCAAAAGAAAATCAAGGAACTCTGGAAAGGTAGAAAATGTGTAACAAAAAGGTCTTAATTTCTTCAATAGATGCCCATATTTCCATCATGACATGCCTGCTGCACCAAAAACACTAAATTTCCTTGTCTACATCATGCAGCATTTCTGTGTTATTCTACATGAAACTGACATTCGACTAGAAACATTTGTCCTTAATTGATTAACAAGCGTTTAAGATGTCAACAAATATGTAAAAGAAAGAATTTAATTTCTGTTTAAGTTAAACTTTTTTTTTTTCTGTTTAACATCATATTTTATATTACTGAAGTGAGTGCAAAAGTTTAGTTAATATCTCTAGTCATTTAATCAGATGCTAAATTCATTCTTCAAAAAGCGGTCCATGAAGCAGGGGGAGGGTTCTTATAAATCTAAGCATCTGAATAGTAAATGCATTACAGTGCTCTACTTTCCTGAACAATAACACTGATAGATGCAAAAATTACTCAACTTTTGTGAGATAGAAATGCATCAGTCCATACCTTACAAAGCCATTGTTGTCAATGTCTGCAGCAAGGAACTCAGCAACAGTCATATCCTGACCAAGAATCCACTTTGCCATCATCCTATGCCGTTTATCTACTCTTGCCTCAGCCAAATAGAGAAACGCTCGAGCCACCGCAAGTGTTGACACAAGCAACCAAATCGCAGCAAAGATCCGGCCGTGCATGGTCTTGAAAGCATGGTCTCCATACCCAACTGTCGTAACTGACATAACCGAAAGATAAAAGGAATCCAACCATCCAAGCCTCTCCACAAAATGCATAACCCCAACACCTATTCCTATACAAAGCACCACAACCCCCAAAGCCAGCGCCACCTTCAACCGAATCCTCATCCTCCCTTTCTTCACGTCAATTATATAAGACCTCCCATCCTTCTCACCTCTCCCCTTCACTGCCCTCAGCATGTGACTCTCCTGCAAATCAAGCACATAGCTAACCATCCCACTCAACAATATGTCTATAAATCCAAACCCCACCAACACAAACAATATAGAGAAAAGCTTAGTGGCTGTACTATTAGGTGTGATGTCACCATACCCTATCGTGCACATTGTGACTATACAAAAATACAATGCATCAACTATAGGATGAGTCTCAGTAGCCGTAAAATTATGCCTATTGAACCAATAAATGACAACCCCTAATGCCAAATAAAGAACAAGAAGAACAACACCCTGGCGCACAATACTCTGGCTACCGAATTTGGGTCTTGACACAGCCGATTGGGGATTGAAATCGCTGATCACAGCCATGGCTGGTGCTGTTTTGGAGCGATGAAGGTTAGTTTTTTTAAATGAATAATTGGGGTCAAGGAGCCAAGAAGAAAGTTGCTGTTGATCAAACACTTGTGCTGCATAGTCCTGTGAGGAGGAGGAGGAAGAGGAACATTTTGGGGAATGATGGGGAAGTGTTAAGGCATCAGACAAGGGTGAAGGGTCCCTAGGGGAAGGAGCAGCAGGACCAAAGATGAGACGGTCCTTGAATTCCAAAGGGGTCATTGGAAGAACGATTTCATCGTTTTCTGGCAAGGAGCATAGTGGTGGCAATGGTGGAGGCTTCTTTCGAGGGCTGAAATATTGGAGCAGAGGCTCCTTCTCCATGAGGGTAACCGATTATGGGGAAAATGATCCAAAGGCGGTGGCTTTAGAGGATTGGAACAGCTTTAAGGATATGGGGCGGTTTCTGAAGGTGGAATTGGATATGATGCAGAGAAGAAGGGAAGTTTTAAGGTTTGTGTTAGAGTTATTGATGAGCAAAGTGATGGTGGAAGTTATAGAAGAGAGATTTGAAGTACATAACAAAGGTACAGAAATGAGGAGGGTGTTGACGTGGGGGGTGACAATGTTAACCATGATTTGGGTACCACTCATTCGGAGGTAGATGCTACACTCACGCGCCTCTTCATGCCAAGTGGTCCTAATTTTTTCTTTATACTTTCTTTCAATATTATTGATTTTGATATATTTTTATTATACATCCTTTCACCTTTATTTTATAATAAATACATAATAATTGTCGATGTATAAATTAATTTAAAATTAATTAGAAAATAAAGGTATAATTATAAATAAAAAAAAGTAATTAATATTATCTTAAATTTTTTAAAACAACATATGAATAAAAACTGAATTTATGTAAAAAAAAATCAACAATTAAAAAATAATGGACAGAGTACTTTTTCATCTAAAATCTTTCGTTGTTTAATGTAATAAATTAAAAATATTAAAATTAAAAAAAATGTTAAAATATATACATAAAACATTATTTTCAGACTTACTTTAGTGGTCCAAACTAATGAAAACAACACCAATTGATATAAAAAAATAAAATAAAATAAAAACTCTTGTTAAAAAAGATAAAAAAAAAATAAAAAAGGGTTCACATTCAATTAAAATAAGAAAACCTCATTCACACATGGTGCAAAGATAGGCGAATAAAACCAGAGAAGATTCATAGACGTTCAGATGTTTTATTTAAAAGGATAATATTGTCAAATATGTATTAATGAAATCTAAAATGCTTTCGGTTCAGTTTCGTTCAACTGAAAAACATGAGACTAGTAGCTTTGCATCAAATCAAACCAAACAAGAAGGTATAATGTTGGTTGCCTAAATGACAAACCAAACATATCCTAAATACTTATGTTAATTAATTTTATTGAGTTTAATTTTTTTATTGGTGTCTTATAATTTTTTTAAAAAAATAAATAAATTAAACAGATATATAAAAATTATTTTAACAAAAATATTTATAGAAAAAAATAGTTGAAATAAACACGGCATCAGATCCTTACGTGAGTAGCCAAGTTTCCAAAAGGTGTAGTGGTCCAAATTAAATGAAAATGGTGACATATGGGAGATAAGGCTTTAAAAGTATGCAACCTTGACTCATCATGCTCATGTGAAGTGAAATGAAAGGTGCAAAGAAAACCCCTAACTTCATGATCTGATTGCAACATAAGAAGAGAATTTTATCTATTATTTGGTTTTGTCATTAGCCAGAGAAGAAGGCCACGATTGCTGCCAAGATGGACGCATTAGTGCCCCATGCCTGCCTCCATCATTTAACTACAGAAATTGAACATAATGTGACAGCTTCAACATATTCAACGCGGTTTTAAATTAGTTTCTTTTTAAATAAATAAATCATCTTCTTCTTAATCATCTTTCAAACATCATTATAGAAGGAGCTGATTTAGGAATGGTGAATATGTGATATTTGGTTAAAACATGTTACTAACATGGATGAGGCTTTGTATGATAATTTTATGTTAATCAGACATACTATCAGTGGCATGATTTGCGTTCTTTGAATGGACAAGACACACTTATTTGATTTCCAATGTTATGGAAATCTGTAAAAGAGTTGTCAAACGATGAAACTCTAAACCGAAAACATATGATGCATTATTTAATGATGGATACAGTTGTCTGTTGGCGTTACATGGGATACAAATTGTTTGTGTTATACGTATACATCTGACTTCATTATCTCAGTATGAACTTGTCTACGCAGAGCTGAACTGAATCTCACAACTCACAACTCACTAAAAGATAAAAATCTTTCGTAGGCTATATAGTAAAATAGAATAAACATCCATTTTGGTCAAATATGGAACCAATAGTTTTTTTTATCCAAAAATACTAAAAATACAAGTGGAATCATTTTAATTTCCCAGTCATATAAGGTAACACTAATAATGGAATAAACCGATAACTTAATTAGTAGATTAGATTAATGTTTCTTCCTGTTATTGGGAGACAAAATTATTATCATCGACTAAACATTTAATAATATTTATTTTCCAAAATCTAAATTAATGTCGACCTAATACTATATCAAGAATCAAAATAATAGTTTGCCCTAATTCTTAGCCCAGAACCAATAATTTAATCCTAACGTAATATGACGGAAGGTTCATTACAGCATATCTCCCTCTTCTCACTAATCTTACATCCATATAAAAAAATCATTTACTCAATGAAAAATACAAGTGACACAATTTTAAGTCTAAAATATATTCTAGAGATTTAGTCAAAATTAATTTCAGTCTCTACATTTTAAAAGTAGAGGTTTTAGATTTCTATTAAATTAATGAACTGAATCCTTGATGATATACTTCATTTTAACCTGTCGAGGAAACAATCATCATATTTCAGAAGATACAAGGAACGAAACCAGGACTAAAATCAATTTTAATTTAAAAATTGAGACCTAAAAGATATTTTACCCTGATTTTAATTCTCTAAAGAAAGTCAATATCAGCCCAATTTTTAATTATAACAAGTTTAATTAGGCTTTTTTTCCTCAAAAATTCACAAATTTTTAATTTATTTTTTTTTCTCAAATGAATTCTTCATAAAATATTTTTCTTAGCAAATAATCTCTTTCTTAATTTCTATTTTTTCATCAAGTAACATTTCACCTACTTTTTAATCCATACAAATATAACAATTTCTCGTTTAATATTTCTAAAACAAAATTTCAAATAAAAAGTCGTGATATTTATAAAAATACTAAAAACAAGCAAAATGTCCCTTGTCGAGAAAACAAACAGATGGCTAACAAAAGGACAATCTTATTAAAAAAAAAAGTGCTTTATGAAATACTTTTTCAAAAAAAAATCTAAAAAAGAGCAATGAAATAATTTTTTTTAAAGAAAGTAATTGTAGACGGAAAAAGAAAAAAGAGTAAACACTTCTATCCTTGAAAATGTAAAACATCGAAAAAGAAAAAAGAGTAAACACTTAATTGATCCTTGAAAATGTAAAACATCTTTATATCTACATCAATTTTTAAATGAAAATAAATTATAAATAAATCCTAATAACCTTTTGTTACTTCATCAAGCTCCTAAACTTTACAACTAACTACTATTTTAATCTCTAAATGTATTTCGATATTATCATATATATTACACTTTAAATTTTAAAATAATGTGATTGACAAATAGCATTTTTAGAGATTTTTTTTTAATTTCTAACTGACGTGATGAACACTATTCATTATACACTTTGAAAGACGAAAATAATGGTTTATTTCAAGGTGGAAAAAAAAATAACATTTCCTTAATCTCATTGCGAGGACAATGTCACTTAGTGTTAAGAAACAAAGAGAAAGGAAAAAGATGAAAGATATTTTTATTACATTGCATAAAGGAATACAAAGACACCAAATATATAGAAGAAGGGTACAACTATCCACTATAGTTGTACCCATGTAACAAAGCTAAAACAAAAAGAATATTCTAACAAACTAATAATGAGAGGAAAATAACAATATCTTTACAAATGACAAAATAGCAGTAGAAAATAAAAACACTAACACCCCCTTCAAATTAACTCATGTGGAGAGGTTTGTAGAAAAACTTTTCACATTGAGTTTGCCTCTAAGAAAACTAAATCGAGCTGAAGAGAGGCTTGATTATCAAGTTGGCCCATTGATCCAAAGTTGGAATGTGAGAAATGAGTTGTTTGGACAAAACCTTCTCTCGAACAAAAAATACACCAATTTCCATATGTTTTTGTTCGACTGTGAAAAACTAGATTATGAGTAATGGTCATGACACTTTGGTTATCACATATCAATTGAGGTGTAGAAAAAGGAACTTGAAGTCCTACAATAAGGCCTGAATCCATGTGAACTCAACAGAGGCCTATGCGATGCTTCTATATTCAGTCTCGGTGTTGGACCTAACTATAACTTGTTAAAGATCAAGTTGGGTCTTAGAAATGTGGCAGAACCAAAGGTAGATCTTTTGTCATCAATATCTAAAGTCCAATCTACATCACACAAAGTTGTGATGGATAAAGGTCTGCCAACTATAGTTGGTTGCATATGAAGATCATGAGAAAGAGTGCATTTAAGATATCTTAGAATTCTTTTGACAGTCACCTAGTGAGAGTCCAAAGGTTTTGCCATGAATTGACAAACTTGGTTGACAACAAAACTGATTTCAGGTTTTGTAAGAGTAGTATACTACAGGGCGCCAACAACAACCTTGAAGAGATTGGGTTTTTGAAATAAATCTGCACTAGTTTTAGACAATTTGCAATTAGAAAGCATGAGAGAGGAAATAAAGTGAGCTTCAACCATATTTGTTTTATTTAGAAGATCTCTAATATACTTGGTTTGAGTCATAAGTAGAGACTTGTAAGGAAGATGCTTGACTTTTATATTGAGAAAATAGTCTAACTACCCAAGTTGTTTGAGAGCAAATTCGGAGTTCAGCTGAGGGGTGAGTTTTTGAATAAGAGAAAGAGAGTTGTCAGTGAGAATAATATATTTACATACACTAATAAATAAACAACTTGTTGATCAAGAGTGTATATGAACAAAGAGGGACCACACTTGCTGGCAGAAAAATCCAAATTGGATACGAGTTGTTTTCAGTTGAACAAACCATTATCTGGGAGCCCGCTTGAGACCATAAAGAGCTTTATTAAGCTTGCAGACCAAACTTTTATCTTGGCACTCAAAACCAAGTGGTTGCACCATATAAACATATTCCTCCAACAAACCATTTAAGAAGGCATTATTAACATCAATAATAAGGGAGAAGGTTTCATGAAAATCAAAACCGTGAACTTGATGAAACCCCTTGGCAACCAACCTAGCTTTGTAGTTTGTATTTTTTAATTAATCCATCAACATTCTCTTTAATACGAAAAACGCATTTGTAGCCAACTATTTTTCTGTAGTCCTAGGTTTAGTTTTTTTTTATCAAAGCATCATATTCAACTTGGATAGCAATTCTAAAGGACTTAGGTTCACAATGATATAAAAAAAAGAGAAGGGTGAAGCCTAGTATTGTGAAAACCAAACTTAGCTTGTGTTTCAATGGGATGGGTATTAGTAGTGACAAGAATAACCTTTATAGATTCTTTAGAAGCAGAACCAAATTGTTTAGAAGTAAAATCCTGAGTAGGAGAAAATTGACTAGTATTTGTGTTGGTACTTGGTGAGGCAACACAGGTAAGAGATAAAGTGGATGGTTGAGACATAGGCTCAGAAGAGATAGGTTCATTGGCTGCTGTGAGGGAAGATGGAGAAGAAGATGATAAGACAGAAAGAGAATATGGTGGAATGATAACAAGTAAGGAAGACAAATTAGGTTGGAGAGATAAATGTTTGAAAGTGGAAGGAGAAATAGGATAGTGAGCGAACAAATCAACATAGGGAAATTGTTGTTCATTGAAAATAACATCCTTGGAGATGTAAATCTTTCCAGAAATAAAAAGGCACTTATACCCTCTATGAGACTGAGAATATCCAAGGAATAAACACTCTTGTGATCTAAAATCAAGTTTATAAGTATTGTAGGGCCTTAAGAGAAGGTAACAAGCACAACCAAAGGATTTCAGGAAATTATAATTTGGAGTAGTTTTGAATAAAACAATATATGGAATAGCAAACTGAAGAGCAGCATTAGGAAGCCTATTAATGAGATAAACAGTAGTCATGAAGGCAAAGTCCCAAAATTTTAAAGGTAAAGAAGCATGATGTAACAAAGTAAGACCAGATTCAACAATATGATGATGTTTCCTCTCAACAGTTCCATTTTGATGATAAGTGCGAGGGCAAATAAGTTTGTGACTAATGCCATGAGAGGCCAAAAAGGTTGTGAAAGGTCTAAATTCCCTTCTCTAGTCAGGCTACACACTTTAATTTTATGATTAAGTTGAAGTTCAACCATGGATTTAAAATTTTGAAAAATAATAAGAGCTTTAGATTTTGATTTTAAGGGATAAAGCCAAATGTATTTAGAAAAAGGCAACAATAAAAGCAATATAATAGTGATAATCCGAGAAAGCAATATAATAATGATAATCCAAGAATGACATCACATGAGAAGGACCCCACAAATCTGTGTAAATTAATTCCAAAGGAGTAGTGTAAACAAAATATAAGGTGTTAAAGATAAACGATGAGATTTGCCAATAAAACAGGACTTATAAAAATCAAGAGTATTTTTATTTACTGAACCAAGTTTACATTGATTGAGAACAAGTTCAATACATGTAAATTGGGATGGCCTAGCCTAATATGCCAAAGTGTACTAGAACTGGAGGATGAAACATTAGAGGTGACAATAACCAGAGAATGTACAGGGACAAAATGTACATCAACCTTATTTGGGCAAGGGTCAATAGTAGAAACAAAACATGTGTCCAGCCTTAAATGAGGAAAAGAGAGGAGACCATTGGATCGAACAGTGCCTTGAAGCAAAATTTCATGAGTCCTTTGAGATCTAACAAAACATAAATGAGGATGAAATTCAAAATAGGCATAATTATCCCTATCAAATTGACTCACAATCATCAAATTTTTTTGTAATGGAAGGTACATGAAGCAAATGATTAAGTTTAAGAGAAACATTGGAATTAAAGGGAGAGGCAAAAGATAAGGAACCAAAACCTTTAATTGTCAAACCTTGACCATTACCAATGAAGATCTAGTTAAGACCATCAAAGTGTGAGAACTGAGTAATATTTTGAGCTACTTTAGTAACATGCTTAAAAGCCCCTAAATTTGGAATCCACACAATATTTGCTTCAACAAAGGCATCCTGAGAAGCGAAAGTGGTAGCCATAGCACTAGGAACAACAGAGGTGAGGTTGGGATTCATCCAAGTATTAGAACTTTTGAAATTGACAAGTTTTTGCATTGTTAGGTCATACAACACCACGGAATCTAGTGGTTGATAGGAGTTGTCAGCTCGAAAATGGAAAACATTGGTAGTATGACCAAATTTTAAACAAATTTGGCATTGGAAGTTAGCAAATCAGCCACCTCGGCCACGACCAGAAATAGTACCATGACAACCACTATGATCAGACGTTCCAATACCACCTCAAGTAAGGCCATAGACGCCACATCCAACATGACCACTAGAGAAACCATTGCATGAGCTAAAACCTCCACGAGAAGCATAATTAATTGTCGAAAATGTTACCAGACAAAAATGACTAGTGCAAGACTCAAAGGAGAGGAGTTAAGCTTCAACCTCATTGATCAGTCGAAGTTACCTTCTATCACTACAACAACAAGCGTGTATTCTTGGGAAAGATTGACAAGAATGGAATCAACATATTCTTTAGGCTTTACTAAATAGCCAACATCGACGAGTTCATCAACAACACTCTTGATTTGAGAAAGATACTCACCCATGGACTTGGTAGAAGTGAGTTGCTCCAAGAACACTTGGTAGAAGTGAGTTGCTCCAAGAACACGAGACAAAATAGATTTCGAGAGTGTAGATTGAAGCTAAGTCAGGAGTATTTGGTCCTAAACTTCCCACGTCTCATACTCAGAGGGTTGATGAAATCAGAGGCATGATTGGCATTGTTGAGATAGTGCAGAAGGATCTGCGAATTCACCACGAAGCATTAAAGCTTGTGGGACTTGATAATAGGCTCAACCTGTTGCTTCCAATGAAGGTAGTTGGAGCCATTAAGATGCTCAATGATGAAAATCGAAAAAAATGATGGAGCAAAAGTAGAGCTAGGGTTACTAGCCTTGGATGAGCGAACATGGATGAACAAACGAGAAGAAAGAAAGATGAAGAAGATATTCGAAATAGATTAGAGAAACCTAAGATCGAACGCTCTTATACCATGTTAAGAAATAAGAAGATATTTTTACTACACTACGTAAAGGAATACAAGGACAAGGAAAAAAAAAATATATATATATATACACTAACACTTATAAACCAAATTGATGTTAATTAATTTTGAAAAATCCCAAATAATGATTGTTGCCTCTATCTAATAATTAAACGGAGATTATTCGAGAAAAGAGAATATTCTTTAAACTGTTTAATTTTTTTTAAAATAAAATAAAAACTTTTTTATGTGTTTATTTAAACTTATTTTTTAAATTAAACAATTTTCTGTATTAGAAACTGCTTCTTAAGTTTTTTTTTAATGACTTGTTTAGAAACTCTTCTTTTTAGTTTTAAAAATAGTTTTAAAAAAAGGACCCATTGTATCCCGTTTTAGAAGCACGAGCAACCTCTATAAATACAAGTAGAGAATTCAACTTTTACTCGCCTTTTTGGTACATAAACCAGCTAATATCAAAACTGCAAATCACCAAATCCAGAATAAAGAAAATGATCAATTTAAACCAACTTGGCCTTAAAACAATCACAATGATCCTCAGACATGTCTCGTTGAATGCTTCCGGTGTCTTTGAAAGGAAAAATAAAACATAAAAATTATTTCATAGAACATAACCATGTAATCAGTGAGATGTCATCCACATGATAGAAATTGTTTCGCAAATGAATGTCAAAATAATAATAAAAAGCTTTCCAAGTATACAGTTTAATAAGGAAGCCCGGCAAGACAACCAAAATTTCAAACTTACTGTAAAATACATAATAAAGCATGAATACTTTGTCAGTAAAATACATAATAAAGCATGAAATCTCAAGGCAAGGCACCCCGTTTACAGAGACGGTGAAAGTTAATCATCATCCTCGAGAACACTTCGACGCCTCTGTATCTGAAATGGCATAGTAATTTACTATCAGTAAATACTTCGGAAAATGATAATAGAACAGTGCAACAAATATTCTATATAACTTACTGTAACTTTTGTCTGCCTTGTTGTTTGGTTGTTTATCTGCTCCAGCAATGATATGAGTCTTTCCTCAGAAACCTAAATATGCCATGATCAGATGAGACATGGTAGATAAATTGATATATGATACAAATAATATAATGTTTCATATTTACAAATTACTTTAATGGGATTCGCCATATATAAGCAATTTTTTCACCCAGTATTTCTCACTCCCCCTTTTTGAAAGGGATTTATTTGCTTTCATTGTTCAAGGGAATAAAGGGATTAACATTACTATTTACCAGCCGAAACCATAAAAGGCAAAACTATTTAAAACCCTCAGCCCACCGATAATGCTCATACCAACACCATTGGAACTGACAAATGAAACACTTCTGAATAAGTGACTACCATATAGGATGCAACACTGATATTCCATGCAAGTTACACGTGAAAGATGAAATGAAACACTTGAGCTCTAATATTGAAAAACTATATAAGAGTAGACTATTTGAGGAATTGTCACCGACTCTTTAAATCCTAATTAACAATTGTCACATGAATGCATAACATTGCAATTATAGATTGAGCACTTCTAAATATTGGTCGAACAAATAAATGGTATAACTAGAACTTCCCAATCAAACAAAATATATCATACTATGAGGTTTATTAAGTTTAAATTAAGAATATCACCAACAATTGGTGACAAGAATGAGAAAACCTCAGCAGAAAACAAGATCCAATATTATACCTTTTCAGTTATCTGACCCATTTGAGCAGATCTCAATATAAGATCTTCAACACCCCTTGCTTTCTCAGGTTTCACCAAAGCAATTCGAGCAACTGCATTAGTGATAGCAGAAATTAGAAATAATGTAAGAAGGCCGATTATGAGTAGGCAATTATTTTACTAAAAATCTTAGTAATACCTATAATGATTAGTGAAGTCCAAAACAACAATCAAAAAGCCCATTAAACAAATAAACCCTATAATACCAATGCATACAACACTACTTTTTCTATTCCACGTTCCATCATTAATTCATTATTATTTCTTTTACAAATAAAAATAAATATTCAACTTCAATATCCACAAAAATGAAACAGCGTAGTGCAAAATGCAGCATTGAAATCTCAAACGTACAGAGTGAAATACATAAAAAAAAAAAAAAAAAAAAAAACCCACAC